GAACAACATATGCTCCCATCCAGATGTTGTCTCTTTCAGGGAAGACCTTGCATTTTCCAACATGACAATGCCAGACCACATACTGCATCAATTACAACATCATGGCTGCGTAGAAGAAGTGTCCGGGTACTGAAATGGCCAGCCTGCAGTCCATATCTTTCACCCATAGAAAACATTTGGTGCATCATAAAGAGGAAGATGCGGCAAAGAAGACCTAAGACAGTTGAGCAACTAGAAGCCTGTATTAGACAAGAATGGGACAACATTCCTATTCCTAAACTTGAGCAACTTGTCTCCTCAGTCCCCAGACGTTTGCAGACTGTTATAAAAAGAAGAGGGGATGCCACACAGTGGTAAACATGGCCTTGTCCCAACTTTTTTGAGATGTGTTTATGCCATGAAATTTAAAATCAACTTATTTTTCCCTTAAAATTATACATTTTCTCAGTTTAAACATTTGATGTGTCATCTATGTTGTATTCTGAATGAAATTTGAAACTTCCACATCATTGCATTCTGTTTTTATTCACAATTTGTACAGTGTCCCAACTTTTTTGGAATCGGGTTTGTACATGCACTGTCATTGTATGTAAAAGAGCTGTGTGAAGAAATTTCCATGTAAGGGTCTGGAACAACAATAGAGTGAGTACTGAGTAAATAATGAGAGCATTTTCATTTTTGGGTGAACTAACTCTTTAAAGACACATAGATCAGACAGCACTCAGGACAGAGGACGTGTACTTACCCAGTCTTTCTGATTGAGACGTGCTGCTTCATTATAAACCTCAATGGCAGCTTTGTGTTTCCCTAACAGGAAACTAAACAGAGTAAACACAGTTATATAACACTTATCTTCAGCAATTTTCTGTTCAGTTTCAACAATGGTGGTGTGTGTTTGGCCTGTGCTTACAGGGATCGTGCCACTTGCTTGAGGTTGTCTGAGCTTTTGGGGTTGAGGATGGCACAACTCTGAAACAACTCCAGAGACTGCTGGATCTTCCCTTCTAACCGCATGATCAGAGCTGCACACACAAATCCACAGCAGGTTTTCACCGGGATAAACTGGGACACATTGACTATGTTTGGAACGGATCACTAGTGTACTGATTACTGCACAGTATGATGTGTACCGCATACCACTGTTTAAAACTAGTATGTGAATGTGAAAGTGTTATTTGAGTATTACTGATATACTATTATAGTTTTTGTTCATATTTTGAATTAGATTTTAATTGGTTTTCACCTTAAAACCCTTTAACTGTCACCCGTCCCCTCTGTGGGACGCCTAAATTTACTTCACTATATTACACTTAAATCCTAATCTAATCATGACAAACTATATATCGTTGGAAAGGTCTAAGACTCCTAAATAGATATTTTACCAATGTTTTTGTTAAAAATTATGTAGGAAAAGTAATAGATGAATTTATCACAAGAGTGCACCTCAAAAATCTACATCATAACAGGAGTTCTGACCTTTGTCAAAAAAAGTCGTCTTCGTTGCCTTTTTCTCGATCACACTTTAGAAATCATCAGAAATTATATATCAATTGAAAACTTTAAATCTCTAAATTCATCCTTTGAAACCCATTTTGAAATCAAACATTGCATTACCATGAAAATGGTACATCAATATCATGTTACAAAATGTTTTCGTTCATGAATTATACAAATGTAAGTTTGGATCGTGCACTTTCACATCTATGTTCAAAAATGTGAGTGACAGTTAAGGGGTTAATATTAAAGTTTTTTTGTATTTTTATCATTTTATTCAGCTTTTTTTTTTGTCTATAGTTCTAGTTAATTTTTATTTATTACTTTTAGTTTATTTAGTTTGAGTTATTGTAGTAATTCAATTTAAACTAAAGGAAAATTAGAAATGTTACCTTGGCAGCTCGCGGAAAATATTTATATATTTAATTTTATTTCATTAATTCTATTTCAAGCAATAAAACTGTTTTTAGTTGCAGTTAACGATGTAAAACAGTGATTTCAAACATTAGCATGCTACAATGTCACTTGCCATTACGATGCATGTTTAATTCAGCGAGTGGTGTCCAATTATCACACATTTTACAATATTTTTTGTATCTGGTGCATTTTGGCAATTGTAGTATGTAGTTTCGGGTAATTCATGCATATTGATATTCATAAACTATGTAGATGTAGCATGCAATTATCTCATTTTGCACATCTGAGACTGACTCAGTCTGACCACATTAGAGTAATTTAATACATTTACACTGTTAGAGTGTTGTGTAGTTTACACTGACCTTGCACATACACAGCATATTCACACATGCCTTGAGTTTCATGCAGCTGTTCTTTAATAATGGCCTGAAATCAGAAGAAACGCAAATCAATTAACATTATTAAGAGTATTATACAGCAGGTAGGAACTTCTGCTTTTACCTTGCAGGTCTCATAATCTTTGCGGATATAATGCAGATGTATAAGCCAGTTTCTCCTCTCCAAGATCGGAAGATCGGGAGCTGCAGATAGAAGAAAAACATCTATATATATATGTATGTAACGATGCACAAAAGAGTCTAGACATTTAAAATATGCCTGAGTGTCATTGCAGATGCTGCAGGGTGTTATAATATTCACTTTGTTCAATGTGATTGAATCAGCTGCTTTCAGACAAGCTTCTGTCTGTGAAATGTTTTGCTTGTGAAGTTGATTGTGCACCATTCTTTACAATAAAAGACACTTGCTTTGATATGTCATATGCAAGGACATTCAAACATTTTAAAGTGTGACTTAACTGTTCAAAACTTTTTAGACCAGAGATTAACGAGATTCCGGCTGTTTCATCTTGTGTAGGACATTAACGGGTCTAATCATGAAAATGCAAATATCAAAGGCGGCATTGAAAATCTGCAGAAAGCAGCTTCTATTTTGGATATAAAGGGCAGATGGGCTTGCTGTGAGCTGCAGCAGTCTCGCAATGGGGGGCCGCAGAAGACACCTCGTCCCGAATCCAGTGGGCCTCAGAACAAAAGGAGCCTGTCCTCTGCAACATGAAGCGTCTGCATCGTTCTCCTCTTGCTTACAAGCCCCCTGGCAAATCTGCTCTCAATCCATTCTATTCCTAGACAGACTTTTCCCTCTGAGCCATAATCCTCTTCACTGAAAAATGTGGCAGAGGGGGGAAATAAAGGCAAACAGCGCCACCCACAGGATGAACAGATACAGCGGCGTGAACCTTGAAGATGCTAGTTTGGTTTTGCAGAATATTATAATCCAAAACTGAATTTTTAAGTTATTTATATAATTAATATATACAGACTCCGGACTCTGAGATGCTGACCTTTCTTTGGACGAGGTTTCTTGAGGTCTGTGGCCACAGGCAGCTGCACATCCTATACAAAAAATTTTAAAATGTAATATAATAACAAGAGTTAATCAAATTCTGCGTGCTGGAATGAATATTTTTCAGCACACCATTTTTATATTTGCATACTTTTGTCTCTTTAATTCATCCTTTTACATGAACTCGCTTTCTGTCTTTTTTATTTTATTATTTATTTATTTATTTAGGAGCAGAAATGACCTTACTGTTGTGCATTTGATTAATTAACGCTGACTCATATTTTGGATATTTAACATTATGTAATGAGAAATCATAAGAAACTAATTTTCTGACATATTGGACACATTTAAATCAACACATCTAACAAATACCACCATGATTTAGAAATAATTTACATTAACATCACTTTACTTTTATTACAGTATTGACAATTTGGGGTATAATATGTGCGTAAGAATATGTCAGAATGCAAGAAATCTTAATGGTCCTAAAACAAACTTAATATTCTTTATGTAAAGCTCATTTTCAATCTTCTTTGACAGGCTTTGCTGTTCGAGATTTAACGAAATATGAATAAAAATATGCCTTTGTTATTTAAAACGTCAATCTGTCAGATAGTTTTCTCTTTGCGGAGCAACGAAATAGCACAATAACGAAGAACAGCGGTTATACACTATCATAAACCACCATAAAGAAGATCTTTGTTCACATTAAAGGTATTAAATATCAAGAGTTTTTGTGTTTTAATGAAAATAACCATAATTTCTCACTGTTTTCATCGCGTCGTCCACCATCTTGCTCCTTTCCTCCTCACTTCCGGCGGACGCTTCTGTCACTATGGCAACACCGCGACGTCCCTGACCACGTGACTCCACCAGCCACACGTTTTTTTTATTATTATTATTTTTTTATTATTATTATTGAACTTTCAAAATTACAGAATTCAACAGCAAGTTCTTGACACATTTCCTCACATTTACACATTTTGTAAGTACAAATTGAAACACAGTTTAAATAAAAAAAATGTTAAAACTTAAAAGATAAAGAAAAACGAATGGGCAACTTTTCGATTTTTTTATTGTTATTTTAAAGATTCTAAATAATTGTTTAAAAATGAGCAAAATTTGGTATTGAGCTACTCCACTTAGTTTGATGGATATAATTTCTTATAACAAAAACAAATTAATAATTAATATTATTTTAGAAAAGTCATATTCATTTGAATGAAGTAAAACAGATGATAAATTTAATAGGATGCAGTTCATATCAACACTTAGAAATTGTGACATCTCAGACCAAAACAAAGATGAATGAGACTCTCCAGCATACAAATAATTACCAGTGGTCAAGGCTTAAATGTTTTAACTAAAAACCACCATTATGTATGTACACCCATTACATATTAGACGATGAGAATTCTGGTCGATTGCTTTACTAGAATTATCGGACATGCACAACTTTATAAGACAAACTGATAGATAAAGTCTCTCTCAAAGTCAAACTATAGAGCATTGGTTTAATTCAGACAAAGGTGTGCAAAATACACAAAGGAATTATTTTCATCCAGCTCACAGCAAATCATCTGAAGAGGTTACACAACAAAACACATCGATGCCGAGAAGGGCATTTGGTTAAGATGTGAGCTACAGCAGATCTTTCGAACATAACATAATTAAACTCGATAAACTCAAGCACATTCAGCATGACGCGGCGGTCAAGAAATTATAGCTTGTGATTGTCAACTAAAAGCTTTACAAATAGACATGGATTGTTACAAACACATTTAATGGCCATCATTTTTATATACTTAATTAAACAATTAAACACACACACAAACAAAAAGAAACGTGCCCGGAAAAAAATCCTGTCTGGTTGGTTCCTTTATGCATTTTCATGCAACTCTGTAATACGTCACGTTTCAGGGATTTTAAAAGCAGTTTTGGGTCTAATGCACTTGGTACAATGGATAAACACACTCAAAGTGAAAGCAGCCTAAAAGGTGGACATACTGTATATACTGCTGTCAGTAAGATTGATAATGTGTTTTAAGAAGTCTCTTCTGTTCAACAAGGCTGCATTTATTTGATCGGAAATGTTTGGTCAAATAAACGCAGCCTTGATGAACAGATTAAAAAAAACATTTAAAAAAAATCTTACTGATCCCAAACTTTTAAACAGCAGTGCATACAATAATGTACTAAATGTTCCTTGTTGTACGAATTTGACCTTTCATTTATAAACCAGGACTGTAGGATTTAGTTGACATATCGTGTGCATAATAGACACAACAAAACTGAATCTGGCCCCATGTGTAGAATGCAATCTCAATATCACGGCATATAATTGATCAGAGGAACACCTTTAACCATGTACGTGTAAACTGATCCCAGATGTGTGGGTTTAGGTTAGGTTAGAGTCCCTGATCGACACGCAGGCTGTTATTAGCGTCTGGAACAGTGAGGTAAATGTTGACAGTGTCACTGAAGAGAGTATCAGAGCAGGTTTTTCAGCAGGAGGGGTTTGGCGATCTCCAGGATGTCCAGGTTGGGGTCCAGTGATCTGCCCAAACCCTCCAGGACCATGATGGCAAACACTATAGATGCGAAATTACTCTCCAACTTCACCTGCCACAGGAAGTGCAAAACACACATCACTTAAACGTCATAAAACACACAATAGTATCCAAAACACAATGTGTAATCACTACATCACAACGATATTATCATGCATTTTCATTACTTTGTCACATTAACTAATTGTGCATGTAAGATTTTTAACAAACATTATCTCTGCTTTGTATGTTAGTATTTATTTTGCATGCAGTTCCTGTCTGTGCATTATGTAAATAACATTTACTATATTTTATCTCCCATATTTCTTGTGTACACGCATTCAATTATGTTCCAACCTTGACTCAATTATAACCTTTAAAAACGACCTAAGGTGGAACAAAACAAGTCAAATATTCACATTAAAATGGAAAAGCTTTTTATTACTACTTCCTGTTTACAAATTGAAAGGCTGCTTATTGGATTATAGAAAGGTAGGTGTTACGTTAAACAGCTAAGTGTTATTTTACACCGTTTATGATCTACTAACATGTGCTAAGATCAGCTGCTCTCACCTTGTGGTGGATCAGTAAACCAAAGACTTGAGACAGCAGCTGGGACACCTGAATCTAGAAAACAACAGACACGGTGTGAAACACAAGTCATGGAAAACAACATTATCAGTTTTTGCTGCCTAATATTTTTATGGAAACCATGACGCATTTTTTTCAGGATCTTCTTGAATAGAAAGTTCAATGAACAGCATTTACTTGAAATAGAAATCTTTTGTAACATTACAAATGTCTTTACTGCCACTTTTGATCAATTTAACACGGTTTCCACAAAAATATGAAGCAACTGCTTTAAACATCGATAACAAAAAATGTTTCTGGAGCAGCAGATCAGCATATTATACTGATTTCTGAAGATCATGTGACACTGAAGACTGCAGTAATGATACTGAAAATACAGCTGTGCATCACAGAAATAAATTACATTTCATTCTGAATCTAGAAAACAACAGACACGGTGTGAAACACAAGTCATGGAAAACAACATTATCAGTTTTTGCTGCCTAATATTTTTATGGAAACCATGACGCATTTTTTTCAGGATCTTCTTGAATAGAAAGTTCAATGAACAGCATTTACTTGAAATAGAAATCTTTTGTAACATTACAAATGTCTTTACTGCCACTTTTGATCAATTTAACACGGTTTCCACAAAAATATGAAGCAACTGCTTTAAACATCGATAACAAAAAATGTTTCTGGAGCAGCAGATCAGCATATTATACTGATTTCTGAAGATCATGTGACACTGAAGACTGCAGTAATGATACTGAAAATACAGCTGTGCATCACAGAAATAAATTACATTTTATTATATATTACAATAGAAAACAGTTATTTGAAATTGTAATAATTTCACAATATAACCATTTTTATTGTATTCTTAATCAAATAAATGCAGCCTTAGCAGCAGAAGAGACTTCTTTCAAAAACATTTCAAAGACAAAAATCTCATTTAGTTCAAACTTGACTGGTAGTATATTAATTTATAACTAATTACGGAAGTGATGAAGGTGTGTGTAACTCCGTACCTTTCCCAGGGAAAGCGTGTCACTGAGCGCATGATCCACTAGTTCAGTCATTTCCTTCTTGAAACGTGTCACATCCTGGCACTCATTGGCACGGGCGTGATGAAGGATTAGCTCTGCAACTCGCTCACCCTGGCAACACAAGCACATGTTTGGACTCTCATTCTGACGGCACCCATTCACTGCAGAGCATCCATTGCTGAGCAAGTGATGCAATGCTACATTTCTCCAAATCTGATGAAGAAACAAACTCATCCTAATCTTGGATGGCCTGAGGGTGAATAATTCTAAAATAAAACTGATGCGGATTTCAACAAACAAATCTTGAACATTTCTATTCACGACATATTCATATTCACAACTGTCAACAAAAGAACCACAATCCCCATAATGTCTTTTACCTGCTTAAGAACGACAGCAGTGAACACGGCTCTGAAGTTGCGTTGATCCGCCTCGCTGAGCTGCGCCACGATCCCTGCATCCAGCAGCACCAGCTGTAGAGGCGGAGGAGTTGGTCTCATGCTGACCACCACAGTGTCGCACAGGTCTGTCAGAGTCGCCCTGTCCTGGGGTGCCTCTCCTTGCCCACCCTTCACCAGGATGTTCCCGGGATGCAGGTCACCGTGGACGAAATTATCCACAAACACCTGCCAGAGATGACCACAGGTTAGATTTCAATGAAACACATACAATTAATCTGACTGTTGTTTAAAGGGGTGGTTGATTGCGATTTCACTTTTTAACATTAGTTAGTGTGTAATGTTGCTGTTTGAGCATAAACAATATCTGCAAAGTTACGAAGCTGAAAGTTCAATGCAAACGGAGATATCGTCTTTTCAAATTCTGGCAGTTTAATGCCTACAAAAACGACTGGTAGGGACTACAACGAGTTACTTCCCGGGTGCGTGACATCACAAACCCTGATAAACCTGCCCTCAGGAAAAGGCAACAAAGGGGGCAGCCGTATATTAAAAGCTAACAGAAGCAGTAGCATTTACAAAAACCAACGTATCTAAAAGTATGAGAAAACAACAAATAAAAAACATAGGCCTACCATTAAAAGCCGTGCTTGCACAGGTTCTGCACTGTCCTCTTCAATAATATCCTCTGCTTCTCAATCGGCTCAAACTGATAAGCGATATTAACGACGCCTTTGTTTACAATAAAACCGGAGCACATGCCGCTCAGGAGAGGAGACGCTTAGACGCGCACTAGAGACGGTTAAGCCAATCACAACACACTGGGCTAGCTAACCAATCAGAGCCTATCGCCTATTTCTGAGGGTGGGGCTTCATAAAAGAAGGAAATAATCAGTCTGTTTCTCAGAGAAGGGACAGAGTGGTGTGGAATAAAGTTAAATGAATGTGAAAAATAATGTGTTTTTTTTTTAACCAAGCATTAACACGTTAGACTGCACCCCATAAACACAATCAAGCCTAGAAAAAAAAACAGTGAACCACCCCTTTAAAGGAATAGTTCACCCAAAATAAAAAATTTGCTGAAAACGTACTCACTCCCAGTCCATCCAAGATGTGGATGAGTGTGCTTTTCTATCAGAACAGATTTGATGAATTGTAGCATTGGAAAAATAATGTGTTTTTTTTTAACCAAGCATTAACACATGTTAGACTGCACCCCATAAACACAATCAAGCCTAGAAAAAAAAA